TGATCGGAGATATGACAAACAACAAGTGCTACTCTACTGCCCAAAAAACTCACGTTTGAATCATCAGTGGCAAATTCTCTAAATATAAAAAACGTACTTACAGTCTGTGAGTCAGAACAACCGGCATTGTAGTCTACTCTCCCAGGATCAGAAAACAGTCCTCCATAAAATGCGCTGGACACATCTGAATATTTGGGTTGAACTGTTCTGGAACAGTGTTGTAAATACAACTTAACCACTGATTTCTAGTCGTGTCCTCTTTTGGAAGGCCAACCAAAGTAGTTTCACTTTCACAACGAAACACAGCACCTTTACGACATGGCGGCGGCAGCGGCGGCGGCAACAACAATACTACGGCGAGAATAAAAGTTACGCCTTCTTTCTTTGCGTGAACATTTGGGCGGCGTTATGCAAATCTTCCCACATCGTGACGTAGACATGTGGGGGCGTGTTAGAACGAGCCATTTTAGGTAGGCGTGGTTGACTTTTAACTTTTATAAAGAATATCTCTTCGGATTTGAGACTTTAGTCTTTGCAACTTTACAGATCTTCTTTATGCACCAAGAGCTTGTAACACTCCAAAGAGAAAGGAAAAATTGAAATCGCATCATATGACCCCTTTAATATAAAATAATGAAAATATATTTTTTCCCCTGCAAATCCTCTAGCACTCACTTGTGACCCCTAATATCACATTGTAAAATGCTAAAGTACATTGTTAAGCATGACACACAGGAATGACAAGCAATATTTTTCATCAGTCTCCAAACATGTTGTTGAATGCTTGGTTCTATTTCTCACAATGAGTAGCCACGCCCTATAAAACCTTACTCCTCCAAAAAAAAAAACCCACAAATGTGTAAATTAAACATCACATTTATTCTGATTGGGTGTGATTGTGTCATGTCACATAGTGTACTGTATACAGAAAATTTTCTAGTGACTGGAAACACGTCATTACACGTCCTATTTAAATCCATTATGCTTTAAATATTTAACATGATCATAATGTATTTACTGGATATTTATCTCATTCAAAATTACAGGTATGAAACACAAACACGTTTAGAGATGCTTTGCCTCTAGACAGGACTCAAGTGGCTTTTCTGAAGAAAGAGACATAAGCCTTGTCATCCATCATGCTATTATGAAATCACAATGCAACTGTGCTTTGCCCTCAGACACTCTCTTGCTTTTGCTGCAGTTTATAGCAGTGCATTATTTATTGCCTCAGAGCCAAAACAATAACTCTAAACAGTTTTCTGCTCCTGAGCACACTAGCATTCAGACGTAAGCACTATGTATCTGTCTAAGAGTAAAAGAGGTTTTAGATTTTTTTTAAATAAGCTTTTATTTGTGCAATTTAATGTTCTCATTAATAATTTAGCTAAGACACAGACCATATCCATCAGTCAGAGAACCACAAACGCAAAACACACATCGAATTGTGTATAGATTATGCAGAAGCAAGCAAGAACACAATTTCCAGGCTTTACACCGATTTCAACCTCAGTAATCAATACCTCATTTTCACACAGCACAGCAGACGAGGGATACTGAGAGACACCTGCAATGAAACTACCACAGTTCTATCAAAGTTTCTGCTGAACTTCCATCAAAAAGAACAGATTAACCTGGTATGTGCATCACATATACTATTCATATGAAACTATATTAGTATGTGGCAGACATGACAGCCATTATATGTCTCAGAAATCTTGAGCTGATTAAAAAAACAGCTTTTTACAGGAACGCTGCAGTTGAAGTTTTTTTTTTTTTTTGGTAGCACATTATTTTTGATTCCAAGAAACCTGTTGTGATTTGATTATTTCATCATTACTGTTAAGTTTGCCATTTGCTCAGTGATTCACAGTGTCTGTATTCTCTCTACTAGTCTTTTTACAGTGATGTACATGCAACCTTATAAAAATAAATGCTCTTAAATTGGCATCTATAGTTTCCACCAAGAACATTTAAATTAATATTTCACCCAAAAAACAAAAATTCACTGAAAATGTATTCACTCTCATTTGGAGAAATTTAGCATTACATCACTTGCACACCAATGGATCCTCTGCAGTGAATGGGTGCCATCAAAATGAGAGTCCACCAACATATTAAAACTATTTTAAATTGTTGTCACTTGTAAACAGTACTTGATCTGTGCATATTTCTCTCCTGACTTTGACATTTCAGAAAGCAGTATTTTGGATAAAGAACATGTATTTTATTACAAACACACAACTATTCACTTCACAAGATGTTAATTGATGGACTAGAATCATGTGTATTACATTGTGTGAAGTGTGACATGTGGCCAAGTATGGTGATCCATACTTGGAATTAGTGCTCTGCATTTAACCCATCCAAAGTGCACACACACAGCAGTGAACACACACACACCGTGAACACACACCCGGAGCACTGGGCAGCCATTTTTCTGCTGCGGCGCCCGGGGAGCAGTTGGGGGTTCGGTGCCTTGCTCAAGGGCACCTCAGTCGTGGTATTGAAGGTGGGAGAGAGCGCTGTACATTCACTCCCCCCACCTACAATCCCTGCCGGTACGAGACTCGAACCCGCAACCTTTGGGTTACAAGTCCGACTCTCTAACCATTAGGCCACAACTTACTTGTGGATTATTGTGATGCTTTTATCAGCCGTTTGAACTCTCATTCTGACGGTACACGTTCACTGCAAGGGATCCATTGGTGAGCAAGTGATGTAATTCTAAATTTCTCAAAATCTGTTCCAATGCAGAAACAAACTCATTTACATCTTGGATGGCCTAAAACGTCAGTAAATTTTCAGCAAATTTTCATTTTTGCGTGAACTATTCCTTTAACATCAATCGAACCTTTCCATTGCACAAACACTTTTGGACAACACAGTGAAACAACTACACAGTGAAACTATCAATATCTTGTGTATGGGTCATCTAAATGTTCATACGGTAATTCACGAGTTATTTGAACTAAGCATTCTGCAAGTGCAAGGTTTCTTGAAAGATATTAATGCACAATACAGTGTTTTGAAAGTTGGCCAGCCTGTTATAAGTTTGTCAAAAACAAGTTTTGTGTCAAGGTTCTGAATTTGATATCAAGGTTCTGAAATTAGTGCCAAAATTATTGGGGGGAAAGTCTTTGTGAAACCAACAATTTCTCTCAAAGCTGGCTTCCCACCAAAAATGCTTCAGATTTTCATCCAGCATTATGACACCAGGCTACTTGCACTCAGGGCTTAAAGTACAGCGACATGCTTGGCAGGGTGCAGCAATCCCGACAGCAGTCAAGCTCTCATTCTCACAAGCCCCGGTGCCTCTCCCCCTCTCTCTCACACTCTGCGTGCTGTCAAATCAATGAGCAGAGGACACTGAGCCTTTGATCAATGCTAGTTTCTGGGGATTTCAGGCCTCTGACAGGCTGGTGCCCCCCTCTCGC